ATTTCTTGTTGAGCTTGTTACTGCCCCAGCTTTTGAGGTATTTATCATTGCAGTACTTCCATCTAAGAGGCACTAACTGTGATATTTATAGAGTTGTTTGGAATATTTGTGTAACAGGAAATGCCCCACTTGTTAAAAAAACAAATAAATGAAGCAGTTGAAACTCTGAGATAACTGGACTTTTGGCCGGGGTTTCCCCAGATCGGTGAACATATCCTGTGTTCTATCTGAAACATTTGTCAGATTTTTAGAGGAAGTTCAATCCAGTTTAAGAATCATTTCTTTCTTGCCTTTTTATTTTTAAATGATCTCTTATGGACAAGTTATTTTTGATCCAACACAAAAAATGCCTGCTAATTACATTTCAAGGAACAACCCCTGAAGTCCTCCTACCTCCTCCTTGCACACACCGTTTCTCCTTTTGTTTCTTTTACCCCCTACTACTCTTGTTCCTAATCTGTCCTTGTTCCGCAGCTCTTCTGCTTGCTTCTATATCCTCTCCTGCATCCTTTCCTTCCTCTCCCTGTTGGTCCCTCTCTCGTCTGGTGTGTAATGTTCCCTGTTTAGATTTTAATGGAATGTGCAGCAGGGAGGCCCCTCGGTCATCCATAACCCAGCACCCTGAATGCTTTCTGGAGAGACGCTAGGACGACTCGTGGAGGTCCTGGGCTTAAATGAATCAAACCATAGTGTGTGTGTGTGTGTGTGTGTGTGGGGGTCTTTATGTAGTACCACTCACTAAGCATCTTGGACAGTCTAATTCACCTAAAAAGACAAAGTGAACCCAGAAGAGCCATGGGGGAAACTTTTGATACATAGCGGCCCCAGAGAGGAGTGGGAGATTCATAGGTTATTGAACTTCATCTTATTTATCAGCTCTGTAGGTCTACAGCAATAGGAGTGACTGTTATAATTATCTTGAAACTGGCGTGGTCTGTTTGTGCTGCATCGTTCTTCATCACACTCTATCACTCCCACAACAACAGGATGGCAATTTTGAACTAATTAAAACCTTAGTCAAAGGCATCAATCGGTAATAAAAAAAAATAAAAAATTAAAAGAGCTGAGAGCTTCCTCACAGCTGACAGAGGAGATAAAATGGCTAACGCGTTCATTATAATGCTCAAACCTTAGAGATGCTTACTAACCTCTCTAACTCATCAGTTAATACAACGGACCATGCTGTGGCTGCTTGCTGCACTATCCTTTCTGTATTTAAAAGGACTGAAATCAAAAATATATCTTTTGAAAATGATATAAACACACCAAGTGCCTATTTATGTGATTCACTGTTGGACGTTTCGCCCCTGCATTTTGTGTAAACGACTTCCTGGGGTGTTAACATGGTTCATCAGGTTTGGGCTGAAAACGTTCCGTGCTGGTCAGCCCCGTGTTAAAATACAGAAAAGAACTGTTAACACAGGCAGCCGTGTCACGTACTCTTCTTCTCGAGTACTGTCTGGCTGTGTGTTTTTAGCGGTGCTTGTGCTTCAGTGTGTGTAAACCTCCTTGTCAAGCTAGGCCTGGAGCAAAGAGATTAAAGGAAGACTATAATCATGGCCAGCAGCAATTACCTCTCTCGAGATGTGTACAGTAAAACCAGCCTAGTTCGTATCCTGATAGTGTTAGCAGCAGTGTGGATGTTTGTGTTGTTGGCTTTAGCTTTTATGTTCACTGGTGTATGTATCTGTGCTTCTGCTTTTTTGTGTGTGTGTCATTAACTCTCTGTTTCCTTCCCTCTGTAGCAAACGTCTGTCTGGCCCAGTTGGTATGGTGTCCAGGATGACCTGTCGATCGAAGAGCCCTCCACACCTCTGCCACCAGCTGCATCCTTCTCCCACTCGGACATGCCACCACCATATGAGGCAGTCTCTGGAGGTAGAGCGCGCACACACACACACTATAACACAGTACCATGTGTCTGCTGCTTGAGTTGGAGGCAGGAAGATGGCTTTTATTTAGATTTTGACCCTTTCTACCACAGTAATGGGGGAAGGCCACCTCGTTTCTTGACTGAATATTCCCTGAACTCGCTGTCTCTACATAGTTTCACTTTCTGTGATAGCGAGCCGAGGTCACTGTGAGAAGGTTTCAGTGGATATGGCTTTGCTAGATGTGTTCTACTGAAAAGGAGACGATAACTGAGCCTTTGTTACAACATGCTTCATTTCTACTCTCATTTGAAGAGGGCTGCTACTAGTGGCTTCTTTTCTATCAGATATTCTACCGACGATTTTACAGATTTTGACAAACTGTCTGTCATTGTGTAATGCAGCACAAACTGAAATCAAAGGTTTACCGTGCAAAACTCTAGGTTGATTTGTGCTCCTATTGAGATGTGCTATTTGTGGTCCTACGAAAAATATGCGCCCATATTCCTCCGTGCGGCGACTTAAGCAACATAAGGCCGGAATGTTACCAGGTGACCGCCCGGACTTTGTCGTTATGTTGTGAGAACGGAGAGCAACATTTCCCTTCAAACACTTGGTTCAGTGGACTTTCTAAAGTAGCAAAAATATTGCTGACAAAATATTGATGTTCACCCCAACCCACAGTGTATTAATCCAGGTACCTGCACAGGCTGGAACCACACATGACAAATTGTCCTCTACCACCGTCCTTTAAAACCACCAGCATTCGGACTCCATCAGAATCGGTGCATCGATTGCCTGATGGGAGATTCGTGTACCTTACTGACTATAGGGATCATAGCCACAACCAGCAAATTACCACCAGGTGCAGTCTGAGCAGTACTTGCATCAGTGAACTTGTCTCTTCTGATTCTAAATGAACTCCCACATGTATGCACACACGGAGTACTTTGTTTGCTTTTGAAAGGGCAAAGTACAATTTGGCGAGTTCCTTTATTCTGTGTTCCCCAACGTGTCATTGCGAGCTCAGGAATGAGCACACAAGTCGGCCAGATCAGTTGTTGAATCTTTGTATTAAGATTCGGTCTCCTCTTGTGCAAATTAATCTCTAATTTGATCCGACGTGCTTGTTCCGTCTGACAGCAGGATGTGGTTCTAGCGGGTGGAAGTGGGTGACATTTCAGCACTAATTCTATTACAAGATCTCATATTCGCCCCCACATGTGATATTTTTTCCTGTCAAAGACGGGCATGCTTTTACTATAGTTATTTGAATGTATAATAAGTACTAGGTAGGTCTTGCATCTGTATAACATTGCTTCTTACACTTCCCAAATTAAAATATCTTTCTGCGTAGATGCAAATTTAGCGTACACTCTAATTCTGCAACCATTTGAGATATCAAAAGATATGGTACGCCATCGTCTTCAGACGACTGCTCATGCGTAACCTTTTAATAGAGTGCTGTCTACTCTCACTAAAAGCAGCGAATTTCACAAGAGAAGCGGTTGAGCGGACAGTAAGAAGACTGAGATAACAACTTGGTGACGAGAAGAAATTCAAAAGAAGTGCTGCAAACGTATTTTTTGATGAGAGCGACGAGGAGGACTCAGGATCCCTCTGCTCTGGGGTCAGTGTTATCCGACGAAGTTTGTCTGTCCTTCCTCTCCATCACTGGGTTTCGGAGATTCTGACACGTTGTTGTTCTTAAAATATTCTAGCACCGCATTTTGCTCCTGTGTGTCTCTTACTCATCAGATTAGCCCCTCTCTTCCTGTGCACACTTTTTGGAAATTGGGAACGTTGTTTGATGCAATGACGCTAGTGTAAACATGGCAGAATCTTTGTTTTGATTGATCGTTTAGCCCTAATATTGAAGGTTATTTTAATGCATGTATGATTTCTAGACCGCTGATGAACTGGTTGACCCGTTTTCTCCTTTCCTTTCAGAGGATGATCTGAAGCCCCCTCCTTACAGCGAGTGTGCTCATGTCGACGAGACCGCCGCCGCTCGTCCCTCCCATCAAGCTCCTTTCATTTCTGAGGCAGACAACATTAGTGTAAACGAAGCCCCGCCCCCCTACACACTGTCTCCCCCCGCTCAAGTCGGTCAACAAGACGTCCCCTTAAGCCCCAGTGAGTCCCAGTCCGAGAGCAGGTCAACCTAATCGATACCGCTTTGCCTTTTCCATGCACTGCCTTCCTACATTCAACCTCAGTGATCGTAGCCAGCCGAACTCTCATCACCAGAGAGCAGATGTTTATTTGGATGTGTGAATGAATGTGCGTTTGGCGGTTTATAGATTGAAGTTGTTTTTCTACTTTGTATTGCGTTTAAAAAAAAAAAAAAAGGTCATCTGAGTTTGGCAATAACGGATGCCATCAGCAAGCCTGTGTGCCTCAGTCAGGGATGCAGAACCTGCCTCCCAGCTAAGGAGGAAGATGGTACCCTTCACCTCCAAGCTCATAGGGAGTCCCTGAGACACAGATAAGTAGAGAAACAGATACCTTCAAGTATGTTCTGTTTGACGTTGTTCCCGCCTGTCCAAGGCCACTTCCTTTCACATATCTAACCAGTTGACTCTTTCTGCAAGCAGGTTTGGGGAAATGAGCTGCATTTAGTTCCTGCTACCGGTATGCATAATATTTGAGATATGACTTGACCTCTTGTGTGCATCTGTATCGACGTTCTGAGCTCGGTAACTTGATAACAGTGCATTATTTGCATTATAGACGATCCAAAGTGTAGACGGTCTAATTAGATTTCAGTGCACCTTGCTGCGTAGTCGTGCATATTAAATAGTAAGTATTTCAACTTAAGCAAACTGTTATGACTTTCAATGCTTCATTAATACTGCACGCGTGTTAGTTGAAGACAAAGCATGTTGACGGAGAACTATTCGATAATGAATGCACTAATTGTCTTAAATAATTACCTCATTAGCATACCCGGTTATGTTTAATATATCATGGTGATTAAACTGGGATATTAGGCAATTCAAGTGCCTATTACATCTGTGAATGGAAGTGAGCGAGGACAAGCGGAACCAGTCGGCGAAATAAATGAACACTTTATGGAGGTAGACAAGAGGTTGTTCTCTGTTGGTCGTCGCCTCTACTGCTGGGTTCTGTCTGTTGCTGCGTTTATATTTGCACCTATATGCCAGAAATCAAGAATCTGCGCAAACAAAATAAACATGAATTTTTTTTATTTCTGTCTCTTTTAAAAAGTTGTGGATTTTTGGACAAAGGGTCTTCAGAAATCTGAGAGTAAATTGTTGCTCTCTCCATTAACTACATTCTGTAGTCGTAGATCCAGCTGTAAGATAATCAGATCAGTTATGAATTGTATTGTAAAAAAGGAAAACGATTCTTTGGAAAAGAAAAATCCTCCCAGGGCTGTGAACTCAGGCTCAAAACAGCTTTGGAGCCGAAGGCTGAAAAGTCATCGACAGAACTCAGTTATTGCTTCTCTTTTTTTCCATAATTGTTGCAAAATGAAGACTAACCAAAAAAATGTTTTTTTTTTATCAATGGCGCCGTCTATTCCTTGTAATCTCCATGTTAATCTACCACGGGCTGGTAGAGGTCAGTGTGTTTATCTTCTCTGGTATAGCATTGCTTTGGGAGAAGTTGTTACTGTGCTTTTTGTATCGCTGCAATTCAGAAAATCCGGAAATAACACTAAGACGATGCACCCAAATGATCCACTTCCTGTTTGTTTCAGCAACAATGCAATCCTTGTACACTCTCTGAACATTACAACAACAAAACAACACGAGAAAGAAAAACAATATGAACGCTGTATTAATGCATGTGGGGCCTTTGGTAAAGTATAAGGGGGTCTTCATGGAGAATCAGGAGTTAATATGAAATGTGTTTTATTGATAATCCTTCATATTGCGATGACAAATTGTGGCGCATCCATCACTGATGCATTTCCTGTGGTTTTAAAATCTGTCTGCAGCTGAAAAGTACAAATTGGAATGTAGCTTTGAACTCCGTTCACTTCACTTAGAGATCGCAGCATGATGACGAGCTAGACCACGGTGTTGGGCTCCCACTGTGATGTATGTCCTGTTTGATTACTTCATGTTCATTCCCATGGTGGTTGACTTATCACATCTTTCCACTTAGTAGCTTTTTGTGTTTTGATTTGGGGGGGTAATCCGTGTTCTGTATTAAACTGTTGTTCATAATTGTGCTAGTGTTTTCCTGCTTTAGTGTGTGTGTGTGTGTGTGAGAAGTCACTTCCAAACAATTTACCTGCGCAGAGGAACAGTACTACACTCCGGTTACACACATTTCCTTAATTTCACACTCATAATAGGTCATTTTCTTTCTATTGATGTGAAATTACTTTTTGGGGTATACCACTTTTATTTTTAGCAGATTTGGTAAAGTTACATTTCTCTTGGAAGGCTCAAGTCCAAACCGAGACAACTTATTTGCGCAAACTTCCCTCTTTGTTTTTCATCACAGGCAGTTTTTTTTGTTTTTCCTTTTGTTCCGAAAAGACTTAACTTTGAACGGTACTTCCTTGATTTGTCTAATTTTAGAAAACTGTCTTGACAACCAGTAATGACGAGGGATAAAATGCTGAGTATTGTCTTTATTGTTTCTGTGATGTGCCACTAGAGAGCAGTCTTGCACCAGTGATGACACCCCCCCCCCCCTTCCATGTTTCTGTGCCGCCTGCACCTGTTGCTGAGCCCGTGTGCCGAGTGCGACACAAGCAGTGCGCCTTGTCGCCATCACGTCAGTATTGGTTGATGCATTTTTATTACATGTTTTTGTGACAGAAAAATGGCATCGAGATTTGCTCCAAAGTTGTTTTGTTTTTTCTTTAGATGGAAAACCAAAAAAAAATTGGTCTTCATCAAGATCAATAGCGCAGCCCTCTTGTGGAATATGTAGCAGAGTGGATACTAAAGGACATTAATTTTTCATATCTTGGCCTCTTGGCTGCCGCATCACTAAGCTGCATACAAATCAGCTGAGCTTGAACAATTCACAATGTGTGTACACATGATTATGAACCTTTTTGGAAACTGAAAGATTGTGTATGAGACGAATCGGATAAATCTGACTGCCCGCTGCAAAAACAAAGCCACAAAAGAGAAACAAAAAATATGGCCCTCTTTTATTATGATAAAATGTGCTCTCATAAATGGTAAAAATATATATATTATTTCTATTATGCATTGTTTTGGAGCAGTTCTTCAGATATCACTTTAAACATTGAAATGGATGTAATCCATCAAGAATGCAGCTTTCGTTCATTGACGTATACGTGCGTGACAGTATGTATTGCGTCATTGTTGAGTATAGTTAGATAAGCACTCTGTTTGTCACTCCTGTATGCTGTGCACCGGTTTGGCTTTGAGTAATTGATGCTTTCGGGGGAAAATATTTGCATTTTGGGAAACGGCCAACAATCCATCATTTAAACCGCTTTACTAATCATTACATCTCAGTACAAACAGCTGTATAATGAATGCAACACGGCGCACTCTCCTCAAGGATATTTGCCGAAGCCCTTCCAAGAGTATTGAGGTCTTTGAGGCCATTTTGAGAAACGGAATAGATGGCTCAATTACTCTCCTTTGTCCGTCAAAGATGTATTGCACTTCCAAGCCTTGCCATGTGTAGGTGAAATGACTAGTATGCATGCGCAGCGGTCGTGGAAAAAAAATCACACTTTTTAAATTCTGCAAGACGGACACATTCCAGGCATGGGTGAGGCTGGATAAGATGTCAAAAAATGTGCCCGTTATTGATTTTCCACCTCAAAGTCATTTCAGGAGGGGATACCCGTCAGTAACCTGACCACCGGTGTTATTTTACGCCGTTTAAATTTTTATCTCCCCACAAATTCATATTGCGTCCTTGTGCAAGGACTGTAAAACATCACAACAGAGTTAATGTTAATAGGTTCTGCAGGTCATTTACCCGCTAACAGATTTCTTCCTTTCTTCGTCTGAACACCATCACTTGTTTCTTCTAGCTTCTGACCTTATTTTGGTTGGGTGTGATGTAGCCATGTATCCAGTTAACTATGGCTTGTAATATCGATTAAAGTATATAAAACTGCTGCTTTGATAATATCAAAGATCAAAAACAGTGATTGGGTGAATCATGTCAGCGTTAAAACACTTAACATGTCAGTTTAAGTGGAGACTGCCCACTAAACTGTGGAGCTAAACAGTTGCTCGGGCATTTCAGGGGCAAATATAATCCATTTCTACCAATGATGTTTGCTTTGCATCGGAGTTTGAGTAAGGAAGACCAGCAGTGGAAAGTGACAACGTGCTACAGTTTTTTTTGTTTTTTTTAAATTGCTCACACTTTACCTGCAGTCTCCGTTTTATACTGCTTGGAGGTTATGCTTTTTACTCCACTGCATTTATTTGATATGTGGTGATATTTTACAGATTTCAATTTTACATCAACACATGATTATTAAAGATTAAACCAGTGGTTTCCAACGTGCTCCTCTAAACTTAATTCATATAACTATATGTTTCATTTATAGAACAGTTTGTGGCCCAAAAAATTACAACAAAAAATATTTCACAAAAGTAAAAGATAAGAGAATATACCCCAAAAATAAATGAATGCATATCTGTGTAACAGGACTTTGTTTTTCTTCTTCCTCGTGAATCGTCTCACCACCGATCCGATTCATCTTGTGCTCCTTAGGTTGGGAAGTACCAGACAAAACGACCTAACTAGTTACAAAGCAGATCCCACCAGCAACAGGAAAGTGCAACTTATTCATTGACGTATCGGCATTAACAATCTAATAATGTCGTATATATTTTGATACTACAAGTACTTTAGCTGAAGTATTTCTGTACATTTACTTAAGTAGGATTTAAAATCAGACCCTTTTTACTCCTAGGGTAGAAAACTACTTTATTTTTTTTATTGGTAGCTTTTGCTTAAGTAAAGGATCTGAGTACTTCTTCAACCACTGTTGTATAATCCATTCTGAGTTTCCTTGAGGCATCATCATCCAGCGGTGGACATGCATGAGTTATTATAAGTGAATGGCATTTAAAATGCATTGATTAGTAATGAGGCACATAATTCAGTGATTGCAAGGGGACAACTCAGAAAGAGTAATATTATATCCGGGCCAGGAAGATTTTAAGAATGTCAAAGCAGCTTTTCTCTTCGTGTGTGTGTGTGTGTGTGTGTGTGTGTGTGTGTGTGTGGTTTGCTTCACATAGTGTTTTATTTAAATACTGCTGTCCATCCCAGCTTCCATCAACATCAAGTGTCAACAGCATGATAAGCATGTTGTTCATGTCTCCTTGGCCGCCAGTACAGATGTAATCTAGAGGGCAGGGACGGGCCTGCTCCTGTGCCTTTGTGATGACAGGATAAGTGAGGATGTCAGAGGGGGTAGGATGAGCACCTGGTGCAGACAGGTATGTGTGTGAGCATAATGAGGTGGCACGTTGTTGAGTTTTAAGATTTTGATATAACCTGCTGGATATAACCATTGTTAAAGAATCCAGTACTTATTGTAGTCTCACCAAACGGCAAGAAAGCAGTGTAATATGTTTGTCTCTGGAGTCGGCACGTTTTGCATTTTTAATCTCAGAAAAGTTCTCCAAGTGGAAAGCTGTCATCCACCACTGGCTTAATCTGAATGATGAAAAGTGAAAATTAGAAATTCCCTCCTCAGCTGAGAGTTGGTGCCGAAACAGTGTGGAAATATTTATCTGACTTGCAGAGAAGTGTTGTAATTCTTATCTGGAGTTGGTGTTCCAAAGTGTTGCATTTGCCCTTCAGCGTATTGGGGTTTTGACATGACGTGCATTTGCTGACTTTTTTTAAAGTACCACGAGTCGAAGAAGCGTGTCAGCTCCTTTCAAACAATGTCTCTCCGCTTGTACAGTTTGTAGAAAAACTTCAAAGGTGCAGGTGCGGACCAGATTGAGTTTTTCTGGGAGCTGTCAATGCGCCAGACAAAGACCTGCAATACACAGAAGATAGGTGTTTGTGCAGGAAGCAAGAGAAGCGGTGAGGGAAACGGCACAGACAAGACCGGTCTGCAAATCCCTCTGAATGGCCCGAATCTTGCCGACCTCTGACCTCGTGTTAATTTTTGTATTTTCCCTGCTGGGCCTCACTGCTAACCTGCTGTCCATCACAACAACTTCCAAGTCGCTTTGTAAAAAAGACGCCTCCTGTCTGGTGTCTGAGAAACTGAGAGGACTGTTGTTTCCCGTTTATCAGCTTAGCAAGAATTTACATTTTAATTGAATCCTGATGTTTTGGCCGAACTCTGCTTGCTGAGTAACTGGAACTCCCTCACAGAAACGACTTACAGGCTTCAAGTGTGAGTTCACAGAAGATGACAGGCAATCAGACACATTCACATTGACTATGCAGAATTCAACTGCATGTGCCAAGATTTCACATGCTGCCATCACCAGGAAGATTCTTGGAGAGCATGTGCGTTTGTGTGTTTGTGTGTGTAGGAATGTCACAAAACTACAGCTGGGCTTTGTGTGCGTATTTACACATCAGCTTCTATGTATTTTAATGAGTTTGAATGTGCCAAGATTTGTCATGCCTCCATTGCCAGGGACATAGTTGGAACGTGTGTGTGTACAGACAGCAGGGAATCAGAGTTGTGCTCAGGTGTGTGTGTGTGTGTATGTGCACTTGGACACTTATATTTGTGGGGACCAATTTGAGTTGTAGACCTTCAGAGTGAGGACATTTTTATAAATTGAGGACAGTCTTCACTTCGTCAAAGGCCTGTTTGAGAATCCGGACATGGTTTTAAGGTTGAGGTTAGAATAAGGTCAGGGGTAGGGGTTAGGCATTTAGTTAAGGTTATATAACCTCATAAAAATCATACAGGGATTTGTGTGTGTTTGTTTGTGTGTGAGAGAGAGAGCGTCTATCATACTAATTAGGATAGACGCGTCCACTCCTACACTCTCTTTGATGTGGCATGTTGGCAAACTGCTGATGTTGGAGATTCTGTCTAATAAGATATTGGATAAAAGATATGATTCGTCAGCACCTGTCTTTGTTTGGTCGACCTTTTCCATCTATTTAGAATATTATATCAGACACGATAGGGGCGCATGCTATTGGCCCCTAGTTGATTTTGCAATGCCTGGTAGATTCGTGGTTTTTACATTATTACACTGGTTGTGTTTTAACAGAGATCTGGTGAGTTACTGAGGTTGAGATGCAAATTGTTTAATGCCAATTAATCTGTGGGTTAGTTTCTCAATTAATAAAATAATAATTTGGTTTCTAAAATGTCTCAAGTTCTCAGAGCATAAAGGTCGAATCTTGTTTTATCTCTAGTGCGTGTGAAAAGTAAGGGAATCAGCATCTATTACCTTTTATCGCAGGTCCAATTACAAAGGAAAAGTTATCTTTTTATCCTTCTTTGTGCTCTCTCCTCTGTCTCTTTATGTCCTCTGCTCTTGCGGGGTCTACTAACTGATTTCACACTCCTGAAACAAGTTAATAGTTGGAATAAAGCTGCTGGAAAGACTGTACCCTCACTCCTGCACCATTGAATTAAGGCGGGGTGTTCTTTTTTGAAAACTTCTGCTCTTCCCAATTTCTCATTAGACTAGCACCAGTGCTATTTCAAAGGCATTGTTCTGTAGGTTTGCGACACAAAGAGCCAAGGTAAAGGACCCCTACTTACTCTGTCTCATTTGCAATGGTATGGACGGAAGCCCAACCCATTACAGTGCAATTAAAATGCTTAAAATGCAAATTTCAATTGTTATTATTACATTATTTCCAGACTGTGGCACCCGCAGCTTCCATCCAAGTGCTGTTCACTGCATCGAGATGGTGATTAACTTCTGCATTATCGCACTGATAAAGAGCAACTGAAAAGTCAAGAGCGTAAATTGAACGACAGGCTGCCAGCGCCAGTTTCCGAAAGAAGTCATTAGGATTCCGACTAATTACATCTAGTCTGACCTTCCAGTCTCATTGCTGCTTCAACCCGAACAAATAGATCTACAGCTCGCTGCTTGTACCTCGTGCATATGGAAGTAAAAATAAAGTTGTATTAATAAACGGCGACATTGTAACTTGAGCTTCGGCGTGTCACAGGAAACCATTAGTGTTGTAACAGTAAAGCAGATAAGAGTTAATTAACTGATAATGGCACTCTATTCACTGTGAATGGAAATGAAAGGGTGGGAGTCAAGAGAGAAAAATGGACTTTCTGTAGATCTCAAAGAAAAGCAGATAATTCTATTCCTCTTGATTAAGTTTCACATTGGGGTGGCATGAATGCCAAGAGTTCTGATTGATCTTCATCACAGCTGCCACAACAATGTACTAAACCAACGAGTATGAATTGCATCATGTCTATTTCTATACAAATTGCACGACAGGCCTCTTGGAGGAAAACACAACACCTGTTAAATCAGAGCCTTTGATCTCTTGATGACCTCTTTCATTCACTCCTACTCTTCTTCTAAAACCCGGAATATGACGGCAGAACAAATCGATAACAACAGCACCAAGAAACTCAAAAGACGTACGGTTTTGTGGGAAGTAAACTTAACTAGAGGGCAAAAAAAACAAAACACAATTCTTCCTTCCTGTATGCGCAGCTTTTAATCAACTTTCCAGCTGGGCAAATCTGGGGTTTTATCGGCTCTATCCTCCTCTCTCACAGAAGAGAAACAATGTGCTTTATTCCATTACACTGTAAATCCAATCTCATGCTTCACGCTCTGTAGAAGAGTAGCAGAAAGAGGGAATGAATGAGATGGCATGGCGAAATGTTGACACAATCCCACAATCCCTAGGGTGACACCCGGCGGCCATCGGGGTACAGTTGAGGGATACTGAGCAATTAACCAATCAACCAGGGGGCTGATGGGGCCCCATGTAGCTATTATGGTAATACACGTGTCGCTGAAGTGGAAAGCGCTCCCTTGACTCGACAAAGTCGGACTGTTTACTCATTCTGTAGCCTGTTCCAACCAAGACATCACACTTGGAAATCAGCGCCTTTTTTCTGAGGGAAAGCTTGCAAGTGTACAATTAGGAAGTAATTAGTATTTTGCTGCTTAAGATGTAGACTTGCACAGATAAGGTCTGCTTTGTTACCACCATATAATGCAATAGAGCACATCCTGGTCTTCTAAAAGCAAATCAAAATGTCTGTACATGACGGGCTTCAGAATGAATGCCTCTGTTTCCACTCTTGACTCTCCCAGACTTCCGATGAACACCAGAATTAATAATGGATTAGGAGGAAATAAATATTTAATTCTTTAAATCTGTTGCAAACAGCTTGTAATATTCGTTGATCTATCTCCTGCATGATTCACACAGCAATATATCTTTAAAAAGCCCACAAGCTATTTGTTTCCACCACTCGGCCAGAGCGGCATTCATCTCCTGGCATCAGTTAACAAAATGTCTCGCATATGGAGCAGTCTCCGTTAGGTGTTGCGTGCTGAGGAAGTGGATTATTACTAATGCTGTAGACGCATGTTATCAGCGGATGAAAAGAAGCCTGCTTGAGATCTAAGATTGAATATTGCAACATAAAAGCAAAGCTGCGAATATCATCCAACATAATCGACATCTTCAATGGCTGATGCCACCGTACACTGTTAATTCAGTTACAATAACATAGTTACTACATACATGATGACTTTGATGCTCTGCTGACTTTTCCTCTAGCGCCACCATGAGGTTAAAATCTGTGGCTAAAGATAAAATCTCTCAACAACTATTAGCTGGATTGTCATTCAATTTGGTTCAGGCATTTATGCGCCATCAGCAGGTTTAAATTTGCTGCCAAAATACTTTTTGTTTATGACTAAATACCTGTAAAGCTAATAAAATCCAGCCTACATTTTAGTGTCACGGTTCTATTACAAAGAATGAGAGGAGTGTGTGATATCCAGGCCCTAGCATGGCTGTAGACTTGTTAGTTTTTGAGCAAGGCGTTCAAAAGGAGATTGAAATCGAACCACATTTCCTATATATTCTACTCTATCAAATAAAGTTTAGAAAGTAAAAGATCTGCAAGTAGGTCTGCATTTCTGACGGACATGACCCCTCACATAAGCAGAATAAGTTGTTTGATTACCAGTGACACCACCTTTGAGTCTATTACCAATTACCAGAATTAATGTTATGTGACTTCATTATTAAGCAGTGCATCATGCCCACTTAACGCAGTCAAAACCATCTGCTCAACAGAGTATGCTGCTTTTAAAAATCTTCCACCATGTGACGAGGCTTTTTAAATTTAGTTCAAAAGCATGCAGTCTGGCCAATACCATTAAACCATTACAAGCTGTCGGTGGTCTCTTGTTCTCCTTTGAATTCTTGCTCTTAGAGGCACTTTACTTCACATGAGCTGGCTCCGTATAGTTTGTCTATAGCGTATCCTGACTGAAGTGTTCAGACATTTGCTTTCATCTTGTGCAAAGGCATGCCTCAAAGATGGGTAAAGGTGAAAGTGACTCTGGGGGGTGGGGGTGGGAAAGGGTTGTTCAAAGCCGAAGCAAAAGAGTTTCTTCAAGAAAAAGAGTTTCTTCCTCTTTGCAGAGTGGCCTAAATTTCCTGCAAACTAGCAGGTGCTTCCATCTTATAATGCCATTTTGACGGTTCCCCGTTCCACTGTGTGGAGAACGCCAGACTCTCATGATTTCACTCTCTCGTATCAGAAGGCAGAGCAGCTCTTAAGGCGACTGCAGAGAGAGAAGTGTGTCTAATTATATTCGCAGGTAAGTTGTCGCTCAAACGTGCAGTTGTTTTTTCTGATAAATGGAAAAATAAATAACAGACTCTCCCTCCTCGCACACAGCCTGGTCCAGCATTGACTTCTAACCTCCAACTGGAGAGCTGTCAGCAATTGAAATTAATTAACTTGTCCAAAGTGAGGCAAAAACAATTACCCAAGCACCAGCGTATAAGAAGAGCGGGCAGGTTATTACAGTTTCTTGCAGTCAGCCCTTACAGGAGACGTACAGAGATGATGGATGTTTGTATTTCCAGTGGGGCCTTCTTTCTAATGAGTTCCTGTGCCATGTTGTAGATTCATTATGGGAAAAAAAGGATCCGCTTTACTGAGAATAATAAGAAATGATAATATCCCAGTAATTAGTACGATTTGTATCAGTTAATGCAAGTTTTGGTTGCTGTTGTCAGCCTTCTTGCTTATTTTCCAGGTCATGAATGTCAGTGTTATGAAAGGAATATGAAGATTAGCTCTGTGATATACAAAGCCAGCGATGTGCTACATTTACCAAGGGAATACATATTTTAATGGAAGCTAAACATTTCTGCCGAAGCTTTTCGATTTCTTCCGCCTGTATCTGTTAGACTAGCAAACTGTGAAAGCCCCTCAGCTTTTTGACATTTTTCCTCTGCAGACCTAAGAAGCACACACAAATCAAGGTTTCCAAAAACTCTGGAGATAGAAACGCAGCGTAGCGAGAAGACCAATCTTGATTTGCTGCGGCACACCTGCTTAGAGTGCATCACGGTTCACACCAATACAAAACTCGCTCTACGTCGGCCGGTCTGAAGGTGTAGCTTTGTTTTGTGCTTGCATTGTGAGAGTGAGAAAGACGGAAACAAAGGCACAAAGTATTTCACGCACATCTACTCTTTGTGAATGTAATATTGGAGTGTATGATGCCTTCAGTTATCGAGGACACACTTGTGCATCAAGAGAACAGACAGCACCGTGCGGAGGGAAGCCAGTGAAGTCACCCCGAACAACACAAAACAGTGTTGAAAGAAACTGCTTCTGCCGAGTTTGGAATCGGAGGATTTGTTGCTGTGTTCTGAGTCAGTTGGTCCAGTGCTGGTAAACAATCACTTCGGCCCCCAGCAGCCACGAAGAGCAGCGAACAGTTTGTGTCTGCTTAGTCTGGGATGTAAATCCACGCTGACTATATGGAAGTGGAAAAGTGGCTGTGACTGGAGGGTGATTTTCTGCAGATAAGGTTATATCTTTAGCTGATAGCATTGCCATAGTAATACAAGAGCCTTTTTTTTTTTTTTTTTTTTTTTTAAATATGTTTTGACTGGACAATTCCAAGCTATATAAATTAAATATGAATTATTTTAATTGAGTGGTAGTCCTCTTTTAACTCTGGGTCTGCCTTCAGAAGATTACAATGCACAGGAGATGATGGTAGTTTTCCCCACTGTGGCTTCTCTGGATTATATGCGCCTTGAGTACTTACATAAGTGGCTTTATTTTTCTATCCATTTAGCCATGGGTAGCTTTTGCCTACTTTATCATCACTTATATTGCTTTTGGCTTCTTAAATGTACTGACTGGCAATAAAATATCTTCTTGACACAGAGGAAAAATCAGCAGACTGCACTCTTTACTGTGAATGGCCAACACCATTGCCCAGCAGTCACATACATAATTGTCCTCTACAGCCTCACTCTCTCTATTTTGACATTAATTAATCTCAGGCAATCTCCAAACTGCCCATGGGGCCAAGACCTCATGCCTCCAAACCTTCAATTCCCATGATTGAATTTTACAGAGTTCATCTCTCCAGCCCTTAACTTTGCCACTTTGCTAATGGTGAACGAAAAAAAAGAAGACACTAAAAAAGAAGAGAAGTAAAAAAAAAAAACTCTCACCATCAGCCATATTCTTTTTGTTATCCATCATGGGCCATGGAGGGGAGGACAAAGACAAATACAGCCAGCCAGAATCTGGGCAGAAAGCGAGAAAGATGACCCCACTGGACTCTGGACTGCGTGAGATAATGAAATGCAGCACCATTCATTCACTACCTTTGGACGGACCGGGCCCTACAACACTCGATCACACCTCTACACTGCATTGTAGCGGGCTGATGTGACCTGTGACGCACAGCAATGAGATTAAGATGGTGTAAACTTCCATAATGATGTTATAAGTGAGAACAGGGAGTATAAACTTCACCCAGTGAAGTATTTTCTTGTACGACAGACTCTGACCTGGTTTTAAATTTTAAAACAAGATAAAGAGTCTATACAGCCATGCTAGCGGCTCTGTGAGGCTGTACTTAGGCACAGTTGAACAACTGAATAGTACAACGCATGCTAACATGATATGCTGAGATGTTTAGCAGGTATAATGTTTGTTCGTCATATTAGTTGAGCTTGTTAGCATGCTCACATCTACTAATAGGCACGAACCACAAAGTACAGCTGAGGTTGATGGAATATGTTGTTAGTTTTGCAGGTATTTGGTCATAAACCAAAGTATTGGAGAAATAAAACGTTATGACCTGATGGTGGTGCTGGATAAAAAGTTAATTAGAGAGGTGTTTGAACTAATCCTGATCCAATAGTTCTAGCAGCCCAGTTGCCAGGAAAAGATTTTGACATTGAATGTCAACGTTTTTGCATTTGATGAGCAGAGCAAGTGGGGTAGTATTTCGAGCGACCATTATAGAAAGTTACGTGGTATAATAACGAGTATAGTAGTGAGAAAGTCCACTAAGGATGGATGGGAGGGGTGGTGGATGGGTCAAACAAACACTGGTCGACTTTCACCCAGGAGACCGCTGTTTGTGTCCCGTGTGAAACGCAAACTAAAGGCTGACTTTGCGCATGTTGCTTTACTTAAGAAAGTCCGCAAAGACGGTTGTTATTTATTTGTGCCAGTTACGGGGGTTATTATTTGAACACAAACCGTAACCAAGTAGCTTTGTTGCCTAATCCTACCCAGTTGTTTCACAATGTTAACCATGTGGTAACCATTGTGCATTTCTGCAAGCGTTATACAAGGCTAATATGAAACATACTTATGAAACTTTTATTTAGTTGAGAAATGTCGACGTTCAACGTATCCCGTGGTTTGCGTACCTATTTTTCTGGCAACTTGGTTTCACAAAAACTCTGAGGATCAGTTTTCAGGATTCATCATGGGGGAACCATGAATTTTTTAATTTTGTGATAAAATGTTAAGATATTTCACAGGATAGGTGAAAACTTTAATCTGCTGGTGGAGCAACAGAAAAAAATAGAATCAATACATCACCAAAGTCATTAGGGTTCACCCTCCGGGCACCATGAATATGTACGACAAATTTCATGGAAATCAAACCAATAGTTTCATTCTGGACCAAAATGGTGGACTACGCCTCAGACCGACATAGCCATCCTTAGAGCCATGCCACTAGCATGACTGTAAGGGGTCAAGGTATCATCTCAGACCTGATACACTTCAGCCTCTTAATAATCTTGCTGAGTCTGTCACCTCCAGAACTGCTGTCCCTGC